ATTAACCCCCCCCCATCCCCCGGTCTCCTGTCCCCTTCCCCTTTGTGGGCCTTTTATTATTTTCTTTGAATTCCTAATCAGTTATAAATTATTATTATTTTCTTTGAATTCCTTATCAGTTATAAATTATTTATCATTTAACGTTTAACCTGTCCGTGCTCTGTCTTTGCTCTGTCCTGTTTTTGTTTGGGGTCTGCCTGGGCTCCTTGCCATTGGTTCTTGTTGCTGGGTCATATGGGGGTTGCGTTCATTGAACGCCGCCTTTCCTTGTTGATCTTGTTTATCATATTAAATGTCTACCACATAGAGACAAAGTGTCGCGTGCGACTCACTCAAGTAGGGCACCCAGAAGGCACCAAACAAACCGTTTCGGGGGGCATTCGTCACTTGGGTGACAGCTCTTGTTATATAATCTTATTGTCAAGTATTCTAGAACGCTAATAACAAACGATTATCCCCATACAGCATTGCAATATACAGTAAATGGTGACACTAATCCTTTAATTGGTAAATCTATACATATGCCCCTTCCAACTAATTATTATCGGCAATAATTTTGATCAATTAAAAGATTTATTGTTTATCTCCTGTGGCTTCCTGAGCAAAGGTGTCATAAACTGTATTTAACAACTGGCCAGCATAAATTTAATTCGCCTGCAGGCAATTATTAGTGCTCAAACACCGTGAAAATTAGGTGCTGAAATCTACAGGATTCAGCAAATGTTTCAGTTATTTTTACCAAACGGCATGGCTACTTGTCCTTACTTAACATAGCTTTATTCTATTATGTGACTGATTGAATTTACAAAGCCTTAACCAAGTCTGCAATTCTCTTGTCATTTTGTTATGATTAATGCTTCCGAGGGATCACTTTGTTTCCAGATTTTAATGGTTAAAAAAGAAGATACGAAAACTATCAAATTTGAATACTTATTGACATTACGTCTTGATTATGTTGTTATCAAATTTGCAAGTTGTAAATACCGGACAAAATACCGGACAATTGCGCTACTCCCTCATATTACAGCTTTCGTATCTGTAAGTTAAATCATACGAATTGCGACCATTTTAAAGGATCATACATGTTATTTGAGTAATATATATGTCAACAATCAAACAACATTTATGTCATTACTTTATAATCCCCAAGCCAATTAAAGAAACCCCCGAAAGTAATTGAATTAATCATCCCATTAAAGAACAAAACTAATTAATAAACCCTTATTGGTTGAAATATAAAGTCTCAGTTTGCAAACCGTGTTTAACACCTTTGCATTTTAATTGATACTGCTTTGTACTTAATTGCTGGTAATTACCGTTGAAAAATGCGTAATACGAACTGCATTATTTTACAAACTGCATCGAAACACACGTATATTTACCATAAACATATTTACAGTTTCTGCCAAAAAACATTTAATATAAATTGCATGACATTACATTTTTTTTATCTTTGCCTTCAAATATTATACATTTTAATATTATATATTTTATAAAAATGTGTTGGCATATCTAGTTTTTACTGTTGACAAGGGAGGGGTGTTAATTATCCGCCTTGAAAAATCTTAAGGGGGCGAATCCGCTCTTACATTATAGGGGGGGGGCAAATCTTCGGGGGGCTTATTCTACAGGGGGAGGGGGGCTTATTCTACAGGGGAGGGGGGGCTTATTCTACAGGGGGGGGGGCAATTCTCCGTGAATCGTATAACCTGTGTAAATTTTCGAAACAATACGTTGCTGATCAATGCCCCATGTCCAAATGAAAAGTGTCTTTGAAATTAGCCAACAAATTATGGCACGTATGTATATTCACCGAACAGTTATTGATAAAGACTCTTTCTAACACACTTGTAACCAAAGGGCCAGAGTAAAGTATCCAATAATGTGAACATATTGATTTTATTCACGACAAAACTGAGTTCTCATATCACAGGAACTTGAAATTCTATCAAATAACCAATATTAATTATAATTTCCAAATATACCCCCTATATACTATAAAAAAAAGTATATAGGGGGTATATTTGGAAATTATAATTAATATTGGTTATTTGATAGAATTTCAAGTTCCTGTGCTCATATACAGTGAAGTGTATACTGCCATACAATGTATTCTGCAGGACTCCTCCGATTGATAATTTATATTGGCAATACAAATTTTTAGATATTTAAGAGATTTTGTAGGAAGCATTTTTTCAAAATGCATAGATAAATTAAAGATTACCTTGTATCAAAGGTTCACAACCATAAGGTGTAATGTTGCCAACTCAAAACAGATTTCCAGGTTGATGATGAAGTCTATGCATAATGAGGGTCCATCCGCTATGTCAAGCATGTCACAAATCATGCCCTTAATGGGTTAATTTTGAAGCACACAGTGGTGATAATTTATCTCCAGGCAACTTCTAAGAAGTATTAGCCAAATATATAAATTTTGTGCCAAATGTACGTCACTGAACTTAAATAGGCTGTTGGTGCAAACCAAGGGCTTGTCTTTCAAGCCGTCACTCTGTGCTAGGGACTCACCTAACCTAGCACACTTTCCTCGTCGTTCCTGCCGTCTCTGTAGGGCCACTCCCCTCAACATTAGTCAGAACAGGGTCAGTTGTTTAACGGGGTCATACTAATAGGCTAAATGAAAAAAGGTTGTATTTTGTAAAATGATAAGACTATAATATTATTTGGCACAAATAATCAATAATGTGATGTGGAGTGTTTATGCAAAATTCAGGTACCTATAGTAAAGACCAAGGCCACATGCAGAGGTGAAAAGTCAGATAAAAACAAATGTGAAAACATTTGTATGGACTATAAAGTCCTCATTAATTTATACATTCTGGTTCATATAAATGACTGAGCATTTGATGTTGTTAAAGGGAGACACAAATAGTAGAAAAAACAAGAATAAAGATCAACAAGGCAAAGGCAACAAAAAGTAGAAACCAACCGCTATCAATTGCATAAAGTTAAAATCCATTGGCATTTTAATTAATCCAATGTCAAATCATTGGCTAAAAATTGACATTGGATGAAACTATAGAATTTGATTGAACTTAACAATTGGTTAAAATGCAATCATTGTATCAGTACATTCGTACCAGTTCTTTCATTGTGGACTATTAATGCGACCATGCGTCCAGATAATTTCAGCAACATTTATGACTCCAATCAGTAAAAGAGTTCAAGATCTATTGATCACCATTATATATTTTTAATAACGTTAAAATAGAGAGAAATAAGAATCCTAAAAGAAAGCACAACACGGCAAATTTGAAAATATTGCAGACTCGGTTTGATTGAGCCTGGACGGTTCTGTCAAGTGCAAACTACCGTCCAAGCCCCCTAGCACCGGCTTAAGCAGAATTTAACATTTAAAATGAGCTGGTAAATTTAGAATTTTGAAACATCCTCAGATGTTTTCATATGGCGGTTACCATGGAACCTTCAATGTGACACGTTAGTGCCATTGGACCATGAAAACCAGCATATGGTCCCCAAGTGAAAAAATGCATATGCCCTAAACGAGAAAACAATGGGCCGAACTAAATAAAATGGAATTTTGAAAGGGGATCTGAGGTTATGAAGCCTGCATATCACAGATATGACGTCACAAGACAAATTTAAAAAGCAGGCCACATATCCTAAGGGTGATTCAACAGTATTCAAGTAAGGAATACTGGAACCACCCATCTAGAAAGATGCCGATGGTCTTATGATAATCTTTTTATTGAATAGAAATATTGAAACAGTCAACAATAGTTCATTTGTACAAGAACATGTAATTGCTGATTAAATACTTAAGAAAAAGATTAAGCCAATGGTAATTTGGAGACTAGTGCTTATTCTCAACATTAAAGTATTTACCAACCTCAAACACAGATCTAAGGTATTATATTTGTAAGAAACCGGCACAAAATATGCACTGGACAAATGAAAATTCTAAGCTCCAAGTCAGAGCCCTGAACTATTTTTGTATAATATTTGGCTGTCATTACTTATGAAATGCAGTGTCAATATATGAATCACCGCCACTACACCAAGCATTACAAGTTGTTTTAACCATGACAATCCCCAATCTCACCCCCTTTTAAAATCAAAGGGCTGCAAGCTCTGTGGTATTTTCTGATCCCTGCAATCTAAGTCGTACTGTATATCTGTATGTGTTTTCCTGTATAAGTTTATTTTTATGTACTATAAGTCATCTTGCAGGGCACCAGAGTTTGATACATACGGAATTTGCATAACTAGAGTTGCATCAAAAAATAATTCATGTTCATTTTTTATGATAGCCACACTTTATACTTGCATATCGTGGCTATTTCCTTAACAAAAACACTAAAAAAAAAGAATTAAAAAAATGTTGACTCGACTTCGATTTGAACTCCAGACCTCTCACACACCAAACGAGCGCGTTACCCCTGCACCACGGAGAAGTTTTAAAATCAAAAGCTGAATAAAATCAAGTCATTCTAAATTTAGAATTTCCATTGCATTTCGGGTTAGGGTAATTTCGAGTTATTTTGTTCAGGGTAAACCTGTTGTTTAAAATTGAAGTAAATAATTATGCAAAAATCTTCTCGCCCAAACAGTCCAACATGTAGAAACTGTATATTCAACTACTCGGCAGTCAGATTTATTTGTGTAGTATTCGGTAATCGACATCGCTAAAAATAGCATTTTCATTGATTAAAATCATATTCATCCGCGTAATTTGTGAGTGTGCATTTATTGACAACTCTATAAGCCAACGCTACTTTAAAAGTTTGAAGGTGTAGTAATTTGTTGGACGCTTGTAACAAAAAATTGTTCTTTCTTTTAAATTGCTGGTTTTAAGCAGTTTTGAGTGAGAACTAATTAATTTGCGTTGTTAGGACTTTTAGGAAATTTTGTGTTAGACCGTGGATGTTAGTTATGTATTATCTGATCTGCGATCAGAAAATACAAAAACATAGGACTATGGTTCATAGCAATGAATATATGTATTGATGTTGTTTTTTCAGGTGGTGACTCAGCCCGGCCAAGCTGTTGTTGTTGTAACAGAACAAAGACCTCCAGATTACCTGATCTCATCAATACTGGCATTATTGTTTTTCTGTCCTACAGGTCTATGTGCAATGTATTATGCTAACCGGGTAAGTATTTAATAAGCAGTTACATGTTCTTGTACAAATGAACTATTGTTGACTGTTTCAATATTTCTGTTCAATAAAAAAATTAATATGCATATAGTTACGCTTTATTGAATAAAATTTGGTAGTCTAAACAAAGAAAGTGTAATCAATTTAGTGGTTATAGTGAATATTAGTCTTAATCAAAATTCTGAAGAAAAAAAATGTACAAAATATGATAAACAAGATAAACAAGGAAAGGCGGCGTTCAGTGAACGCAACCCCCATATGACCCAGCAACAAGAACCAATGACAAGGAGCCCAGGCGGACCCCAAACATAAAAAGGACAGGGCAAAGACAGGTTAATCATTAAATGATAATTAATTTGTAACTGATTAGGAATTCAAAGAAAATAATAATAGGCCCACAAAGGGGAACGGGACAGGAGACCGGGGGAAGGGCGGGGGGGTTAATCAAAGAAATAAAAACTAGAGGCAATGGGGAAGATACTTACCGTAGACGAGAAAACATCAAGGGACACAAGCAAAAGTGTCACCAAAACAGTATGAAACAACATAGACATACATCTGAGGAACACAGTGGGGCGCCGCCTTGGAACGGTCAGCAGCATAATAATGACTGCTGTGGAGTTTAAACCGGTTAATGGTGCACCAAACCTCGCTCTTAGTGTAAATAAAATGAATCCCCGCCAAGTGAAATTCTAACAGTTGTCATGGTTACAAAAGGTTAAATAAGTAAAACACTAATATGATCATGTAGAAACATATAAAAGTAAACCCAATGACCATAACAAAAGTACTCAATGTCCTAAAGGAAGACAGAGCAACAAGAAAATCACCTACAAGGGCCCGACGAAGCAAGGCAGAAGACGAACATTAAGACAATTCGGTCCCAAAGGGCTTTACGAACTATCCATCATAGAGTCTCCCACTTGGTCCGTCAGATGCAATCAAAAGAGGAAAGCGTAGTGTCCAACTGTAAAAGGGTTGAACACTAAACATGCAGTATGTCTTAAAATAGTAGGATCATAACCTCTTTTAATAAAACGTTTAATGATTTTAGTAAAAACAGCAGAAAAATTACCATGACCCAAAATCTTACGAAGTTTGTAAATCACATCGCCATAAAAACCAGGCTGGCTAATCCCTTGTCGTAGAAGAGTTTTAAAATCACTATTGAATTTAAAGATTAAATCAAAGTTACGATTATAAAATTTAGTAAAATATTTCCGTAATTTATGATAGCGGTAGCCCTGTTTTAGATTCTGTATTTATCTATTTTAGAAGCTTGCTGGTAATACAAATATTCCGCTCGTTGAAATCCTTTACGTTGCTACAAGCTCTAGCGAATCTAATTAACTGAGAAACATAAACCCCGTAAGATGTTGCATGGGGTACGTCTCCATCTAAATGTGGATAATTAACTATACAAAAGTCAAAGTCTTTTATCATAGATTTTCGTGTGAATAGAATTGTTGTAGATAGTAATATGAAGATCCAAAAATGATGTACTAAAATTTCAAGAGTTCGTTTTCTTAAATTGTAGTTCATGCGGATAAATGTCAGACACCATTTGATCAAAATAAGGATTATCTAAATTAAAAATATCATCAAGGTATCTGGAAGTATTATTAAATGCGACTATAACATCTTGTTGTTTCTCTTCAGAGAGACTCAACATAAAGTCTCTTTCATAGCAGTACAAAAGCAAATCGGCGACCAGGGGTGCACAATTAGTACCCATAGGCATTCTAGAATTGTTATTATTGTCTTGGTAAACAAAAATGATGGAATTGGAAGTAGGTATAAGAGAATATATGAAACAGGGTCAATAAGGAAAGGCTGCGTTCAATGAACGCAACCCAAAGCCGACCCAGTGGCAAGGAGCCCAGGAGGACCCAAAACAAAAACAGGACAGGGCACAAGGCAGAGCACAGCAAGCTAACCATTAAAATCATACATAAATATAAATAATTAGTAGCTGATAAGAAAAAAAGAAAACATAAAAAAATAAATGATTGAATAATAGGCCCATAGACACAGGGGAAGGCAATACGAGACCCGGGAAAAGGAATAAATAAAATAAATAAAAACTAGGGTCAAAGCGGAAGATACTAACCGTAGACGAGAAAACTACAAGGGACACAAGTCACCAAAACAGTATGAAACAACATAGACATACATCTGAGGAACACAGATTTGCGCCGCCTGAGAACGGTCAGCAGCATAAATATTGTTTGGATGTATAAACCGGTTAATGGTGCACCTAACATCACTCTTAGCCCAACCATGTTCCTATAAACGAGACAGTGTAAATAGAATGAATCCCTGCCAAGTGAAATCATGGTTACAAAAGGTATTCCAAAGCAGATTTTATATGTATATTAATTAACCCTTAACCTGCTGATTCCCAAGTTTCAGTTTGGAACATTTTCTATCAATCTTAGGTATATCAATGTTGGAGTTTGATGTTAGCCAGCCAACAGTATAGAGCATGGTCAGACCGCATGGATGTGCAGGCTGGTCTGTCTGTATACTGGTGGCAAAGAATAATCACTTTCGCCTTCAGTAGTGTAAAATTATTTAATGTGTCACTGTATCAATGCTTGAATATAATAGAGTAAGTGTCCTTGTATGATGGTAATTGCCTCGAACAAGTCACAGAATTATTGATTCAAACCATATATTCTTGTTGATGGATAAGACAAACCTATAATACTAGAGGGTGAGGAGGGAGTTGGGGTAAGAATGATGCCGCACTTGTCACGATGCTTATCAGTTCCTCCCATCAAACTATTCAAGATCTATTTCTCACCTCTCCACCGTACACACTCCATCAAAAACACGGGTTTTGTGGCAATGTGGTCAAAGTTGCTGACTTCAAATAATTTACCTCCTTTTGCTATGGGTTTGAATGCCTTTAAGGAGATGGTATTGCTATGCCCCCTCCCCCCTTCGAAGAAGAGGGGTATATTGTTTTTCAAAGGTCGGTCGGTTGTCTTATGCCCTGCCTGTTTTTGTTTGGGGTCCGCTTGGGCTCCTTGCCAGTGGTTCTTGTTGCTGGATCGTAAGGGGATTGCGTTCATTGAACGCAGCCTTTCCTTGTTGATCTTGTTTATCATATTTCGTTAGTCAGTCGACCGTTCTGTCCGTCGGTAGACAACATGGTTTCCGCTGATTATCTTAAAATATATTTTTCACAAAGTCTACTAGTAAATGACTCCTATTGATTTTCAGGTCTCTAGGTCAAAGGTCACAGGAGCCTAAAATTACAGAACTGTTTCTGCTCATAATCTTAAAAAGTATTTATCACAAAGTCTTCATATTTCACATACTTATTGGCCATTGCTAGTAGATGACCCCTATTGCTTTTGAGTTCACTTGGTCCACGGGGGCCTTAAATGTCAGAATGGTTTCTGCTCGATTTCTGGAAAACTATTTATCACAAAGTCTTCATATCTCACATAGTCATTGATCATAACTAGTACATGACCCCTATTGATTTTGGGTTCACTAGGTCAAGGTCATGGGCCTTAAATGTCAGAATTGTTTCTGCTTATTGAATTGATTTGTTTTTATAACAAAGTCTTCATATCTCACATACTGATAGGCAATATGTAGTAGATGACCCCTATTGATTTTGGGGTCACTTGGTCAAAGGTCAAGGTCGCAGGGGCCTTAAATGTCACAATGGTTTCAACTCAATATATTGGGCACTATTTATCACAAAGTTTTCATATATCACATACTTATTGGTGATAACCAGTAGATGACCCCTATTGATTTAAGGGTTACTAGTTCAAAGGTTAGGTCATAGGGGCCTATTAATGTTATAACGTTTTCCGTCCATTATTATGAAAAATATTAATCAGTTAGTCTTAATATTTCATATTTTGATTGGTTATAACAAGTAGATGGCTCATATAGATTATGGGGTCTTTAGGCCAAAGGTCAAGGTCACCGGGACCTTAAATGTTAGAATAGTTTCCACAACTATTTGTTATCAATTTTTTGTGTTTCACATTCTAATTGATCAACACAATCACTAGGAGATAATATTTGAGGTAACTAGGTCAAAGGTAAAAGTGTTAATAACCTTGAATTTAAAATGATCCGCTTGTTCTCTTGACACCAATTAGTTACCAAGTATTCATTTTTAACATCTTGATTGGTCATAACTAGTAGATGACCTTTTTTGATTTCGGGTCTTTAGATCATAGGTCAAGGTCACAGGGGCATTAAATGGTGGAATGGTTTCCGCTCATTATATTTAAAACTATCTATCACAAAGTTTTCATATTTCACATATTGATTGGTCATAACTAGAAGATGAGCTTTAATGATTTTAGGGTCACTAGGTCAAAGTTTGTTGGACGCTTCCATGCCCCCATATTTGGCATGTTTCTATAACAAAATTACCAACAGTATGAGTCAATGGCTAGAAAGGGTGCATATGTGTCATTCGATAATTCTTGTTTCATATTGTTTCTGATGAGAAACATATACAGCTAGCTTATAGAAAGTGGTAGTTCTACTTCGGTTTCCGCTTGTAACTGAATGATGCACTACAGATCTTCCTCCACCTTAGAAGCTGTAAAGTCGCCATTTGATCTTAGCAGTGATTGGATGCTACTTTAAACTCTACCCTCACTCTCACACACTTAAAAATGACTACATATATAACTGAATCTGCACAAGTAACTAATGCAGATCAAGAATAGAAAGCACAACAGTGCTGTCTCATCATTGTCTGCACTCTAACTTATTTTTCCTAAACAATGATGAATGACTAGTTCAAGATTGAAAAATAGACAAGTTTATTGAATAAAATTAGTATACTTATACCTGCATAATGTATTTAAGGTTACTGACCATCATCAGCATATTTTACTATTAGTTTCTTCCTTACATTTTAAAAGTTACTGACCAGCATCAGCATATTTTACTATTAGTTTCTTCGGAACATTTTAAAGGTTACTGACCAGCATTAGCATATTTTACCATTAGCTTCTTCCTAACATTTTAAGGGTTACTGACAATCATCAACATATTTTACTATTAGTATATTCGGAACATTCTAAAGGTTACTAACCAGCATCAGCATATTTTACTATTAGTTTCTTCCTAACATTTTAAGGGTTACTGTACACACAGCATATTTTACTTTTAGTTTCTTCGGATTATTTAAAAGGTTATTTAACTATAAGTTTTTTTTCGGAACATTTTAAATGTTACTGACCATCATCAGCATATTTTACTATTAGTTTCTTCGGAACATTTTAAAGGTTACTGACTATCATCAGCATATTTTACTATTAGTTTCTTCGGAACATTTTAAAGGTTACTGACTATCATCAGCATATTTTACTATTAGTTTCTTCCTAACATTTAAAGGGTTACTGACCATCATCAGCATATTTTACTATTAGTTTCTTCGGAACATTTTAAAGGTTACTGACTATCATCAGCATATTTTACTATTAGTTTCTTCGGAACATTTTAAAGGTTACTGACTATCATCAGCATATTTTACTATTAGTTTCTTCGGAACATTTTAAAGGTTACTGACCATCATCAGCATATTTTACTGTTAGTTTCTTCGGATCATTTTAAAGATTACTGACCATCATCAGCAAATTTTACTATTAGTTTCTTCGGAACAGTTTAAAGGTTACTATCATCAGCATATTTTTCTATTAGTTTCTTCGGAACATTTAAAAGGTTACTGACCAGCATCAGTATATTTAACTATAAGTTTCTTCTTAACATTCTAAGGGTTACTGAACAACATCAGCATATTCTATTATTAGTTTCTTCGGAACATTGTAAAGGTTAATGACCAGCATTAGTATATTTAACTATTAGTTTCTTCAGAACATTTTAAAGGTTACTGACCATCATCAGCATATTTTACTATTAGTTTCTTCGGAACATTTTAAAGGTTACTATCATCAGCATATTTTACTATTAGTTTCTTCGGAACATTTTAAAAGCTACTGACTATTATCAGCATATTTTACTATTAATTTCTTCCGAACATTTTAAAGGTTACTGACCAGCATCAGCATATTTTGCTATTAGTTTCTTCGGAACATTTTAAAGGTTACTGACTATCATCAGCATATTTTACTCTTAGTTTCTTCGGAACATTTTTAAGGTTACTGACCATCATCAGCATATTTTACTATTAGTTTCTTCCTAACATTTTAAGGGTTTCTGACAATCATCAGCATTTTTTACTATCAGTTTCTTCGGAACATTTTAAAGGTTACTGACTATCATCAGCATATTTTACTATGAGTTTCTTCTTAACATTGTAAAGGTTACTGACCAGCATCAGCATATTTTACTATTAGTTGCTTCCTAACATTTTAAGGGTTACTGTGTCATAATTCCATGTCAGTTCAATAGTGTACACATTAAACTTTGTTTGACCATAGTTCATGTAACAGTATAAGATAAGATATAGTTTGTTCCTGTGATTTGTTCATCTTTTTAGTCAGAATCGATAAAAAAAGTGTGTATTGAAAAACAAAACAGTAATCTCGCTTAACTTGTGTTCAGATATTATTGTATGATTATGGTTTACAGGTGAATATCAGACGAGTTGAACAGATAATGTTGTGTCATGTTTTTAAGATAAAAAATGGCCTGTCTCCGGATAACATGTCTGAACACTTTATTTCGCAAGATTCCGTACATAATTATAGTACAAGACTTAGTCAAAAGGGTGGGTATTGTCTACCTAAGGTCAATGGTCAGGGTTCTAAATCCTTTGCTTTCTCTGGTATCATATTATGGAATGATTTACCTGTAGAGTTAATGGAGATCAACAGGTTACAAAGTTTTAAGGTTGCCATCAAAAGTCATCTTATGAACAGTATTTTATTTTTTACTATGTTTTTACATATTTCGGCTCAGGATTTTAAATTGTCTGCTAATTATCTTTTTACAATTTTAGTAATGTGTTTTAAATCCTAGCTCTAGGAGTATCATTAACTAAAGACTTGACTGTGATATACATTTTTATGATTTATTAGTATTTTTAAACATGGTTATGTTTAGGTCTGCCTCTCTATGTTATGCCGCCAATACAAAGGACCACAATGGAAATAAGAGCTTTTTTGCCCTTTTTTGTGTTATCCTTGGTTTTGGTGAGCATGTCATAGTTTTCTCGTATGTGATATAATGTTTAATAATGCTCATTATTCTATCCTATGTTATATTGTCAACTATGTAAATGCTTCCTTTGCCGAAATAAATCTATCTATCTATCTAACCTATGTATTAACATGGCTTTAAATACTCATTACATTAGTTATACATAATATGCCCCGGCATTCAGTGCTTCAGTAATTTCTGTGTTGTTTCTTTTTTCCTACTCCTTATAAGCCAACTATTTCTTTTTCTGTTTATAAGGATAATTTTTTCTGTCCCTGAAAAGACATTTGTCCATATTAGTGATCATTTGTTCTTATTTGGGGTTATTCTTTGACTCCGCCCTCTTTCATATTTATATTCCGTATTTATTTTTTTTAAAATATAACATATATTTGACTGATATAGCACCATATTTTATGGTAAAATGTAGATAAATATACATATACCCCCGACAAACAAAGTTTAAGATGGTATACTGTAGTCAGCTTGTAGTCGGTCCGTCCGTCCGTTGCAGATTTCTTCAAATTTAAATTTTGAAGGTATCTTATTGAGTAGAAGTGCAGTGCAAAAGAACCATAACGCTGCCCTTCCTAATTTTGGAGTTATTGCCCTTTGCTTTTTTACATTTTGAACTTTGTCTAGGACATAACTCAGACGAGGGGTATCAACAAAAAACTTTGTAAGTAGATTGATCTTATTGAGTAGAATGGAAGTACAAAAGAAGTACTGTAACTCTGCCTTGTCTCATTTTGGAGCTATTGCCCTTTGCTTTGTTTTTTTAACACTTTCAACTTGGTCCGGGACATAACTCTAATACGACAAGGGGTTCTTACAAGAAACTTTGTAGGTAGATAGCTCACATTGAGTAAAAGTGCAGTGTAAAAGAACCGTAACTCTGCTTTGTCTAATGTAAGAGTTATTGCCCTTTGTTTTTTTACACTTTGATTTTTGTCCATGACATGAAGCTTAAACAGCAGGGGGTAAACAAGACACTTTGTAGGTAGATAGATCACATCAAGTTAAATTGCAGTGCAAAAGATTTATAACTCTGCCTTGTCTCATTTTGGAGTTATTGCCCTTTGTTTTTTATACATCGAACTTTGTCCGGGACTTGACTCAAAAACGACAAGGATATCTACAAGGTACTTTGTATGTAGATAGATCTCATTGAATAGAAGTGCAGTGCAAAAGAACCAAAACACTGCATTGACTTATTTTAAAGTTATTGCCCTTTGATTATTTTTACACTTTGAACTTTGTCCGGGACTTCACTCTTAAACGGCAAGGGGTATTAACAAATAACTTTGTAGATATATAGACCTCAGTTGAGAAGTAGAATAGTAGTGCAAAAGAACCATAACTCTACTTTCCTTAACATTGATGTTATTGCCCTTCGTTTATTTTTACACTTTGAACTTTGTCCGGGAAATAAAGTGAAAAGTATGAATGGTATCAACTTAAAACTTTGTAGGTATATAATCTCACTGAAAAGAAGTGCAGTGCATAAGAACTGTACCATCTCATCTAAAATTTTGGAATTATTGCCCTTTTTTTGCCTTCTTTTTTCTTTTTTGAATTTTATCCGAAAGAAAGAAAGTCAAGAGCGGGAAATTATACGGCCGATTTTTTGTGCGATTTTTCTCTCTATATATGTACACTAGTGTGAAAAGACGGTCCTATAAAGATAGTAAAAAGGAAAACTTTTTCTTTACTATTTGTTTTAACCGTTTATTTGTTTGCTTTTAGAAAAGTAAAAAAGTCGGTGGCTCTTGGTTAAAGATTGAATACTGTTTCACCTGGTTCTATGGGAACTTCATTCATGTTTTCAGGCAAACACTCAGGCATCTGCAGGGGACATGATTGAAGCACAGAGGATGTCTCATAGGGCTAAAAAATTGTTGATTACAAGCATTGTGATTGGCGTGGCCTTGACCATTCTCGCTATTATGTTCAGGCTGACACATGATTACGATCATTGATCAGATTGCTGATTAGAATAAGATACGGTCAACTATCGTTATCTCGATATCGTTTTTTTTTCATAATTTATTATCTCGATGAAATTTTAAAAGTCCCGAATTTCTTCCTCTTTATCTATGTTGAATTTATTTGTTTATCTTGATATCTTTAGTATCGAAGTTAAATGTAAGTTATTTTCACACTAGTATTATTTGTTTTTCTTGACTAATAATATTAGTCTGCCCCAGCAGAGGTGTAAGTAACACAAAGCAGACGGTCAAAATGTGTAATTGTCCCCCGCCTTTTCGAAGTAAAAAAGGGGGATATAGAAATAGGTTGTGTTCGTCCGTCCGTCTGTCCGTCCGTCACACTTTCGTGTCCGGTCCATAACTTTGTCATTTATCAAATGAATTTGAAATAACTTGACACAAATGTTTGTTATAATAAGACAATGTGTCATGCGCAACAATTAGACCCCTATCTCCAGGGTCAAGGTCGCACTTGCTCGTGTATATGTCGTGTCCGGTCCATAACTTTCTTATATATGAAGAGATTTTGTAAATTCTTGCCATAATTGTTCACAATAATGAGACAATGTGTCATGCGTAAAAACCGGTTACCTACCACCAAGGTCAAGGTCACACTTGGAGGTCAAATAGTAACATAGTCTGTTAAAGGGTTTATTTTGTGTCCGGTCCATAACTTTTTCATAGATTAAAGGATTTTGAAAATACTTGGCACAAATAGTCACTATAATAAGAGGATGTGTCATGCACAACACCTGCATCCCTACCTCCAAGGTCAAGGTCACACTTAGAGGTCAAACTTAACATAGTATGTTCAAGGGTATATTTTGTGTCGGATCTAAAACTTCTTCATAGTTTAAGGGATTTTGAAATAACTTGGCAAAAATAGTCACAATAATAAGACGATATATCAAATACAACAACTGCACCCTTACCTCTAAGGTCAAGGTCACACTTAGAGGTCAAATGTTTACAGAGTCTGTTATTTGGTTTATTTTGTGTCCGGTCCATAACTTTTTCATAGATTAAAGGATTTTGAAAATACTTGGCACAAATAGTCACTATAATAAGAGGATGTGTCATGCACAACACCTGCATCCCTACCTCCAAGGTCAAGGTCACACTTAGAGGTCAAAACTTAACATAGTATGTTCAAGGGTATATTTTGTGTCGGATCTAAAACTTCTTCATAGTTTAAGGGATTTTGAAATAACTTGGCAAAAATAGTCACAATAATAAGACGATATATCAAGTACAACAACTGCACCCTTACCTCTAAGGTCAAGGTCACACTTAGAGGTCAAATGTTTACAGAGTCTGTTATTTGGTTTATTTTGTGTCCGGTCCATAACTTTTTCATAGATTAAAGGATTTTGAAAATACTTGGCACAAATAGTCACTATAATAAGAGGATGTGTCATGCACAACACCTGCATCCCTACCTCCAAGGTCAAGGTCACACTTAGAGGTCAAACTTAACATAGTATGTTCAAGGGTATATTTTGTGTCGGATCTAAAACTTCTTCATAGTTTAAGGGATTTTGAAATAACTTGGCAAAAATAGTCACAATAATAAGACGATATATCAAGTACAACAACTGCACCCTTACCTCTAAGGTCAAGGTCACACTTAGAGGTCAATTGTATACAGAGTCTGTTATTTGGTATATTTTGTGTCCCGTCCATTACTTCTTCATAGATTAAGGGATTTTGAAAAATACTTGGCACAAATAGTCACTATAATAAGAGGATGTGTCATGCACAACATCTGCATCCCTACCTCCAAGGTCAAGGTCACACTTAGAGGTCAAAACTTCACATAGTATGTTCAAGGGTATATTTTGTGTCGGATCTAATCTTCTTCATAGTTCAAGATATTTTGAAAATACTTGGCACAAATATTCACAATAATAAGACGTTATGTCATGCACAACACCTGCACCCCTACCTTCAAGGTCAATGTCACACTTAGAGGTCAAAGCTTAACATGATAGATTTTAAAATTCCATGTTTCATTTTTATCTTTAATAAATTTATTGTTGCATTTGCTGATCTAGCATTGATCGTAATTTTGGACTGAATGTCCTGAGATCCATACCTCAATCTTTTGAAATAGCACAATTTTATGCTTCATATAAAACTTCCCGAGGTGGGGGACGTTGGTAATTTTGTTACAAATTCTTGTTATGTTTGTAACAAGTCGAGCTGTTTTTTTTATATATAAAAGTTAATGTTATTAGCGTGTTGATTGACTTATATCAAAAATGAGTGAATTTACCGTTTTTGTATAAAATATTGGAACTGTATTAAATTTATTAGTTTACATTGACTTAGATGAAAGAGTGTCAGTATAAATACATTGTCGTTGCAATTTTGTTTACATCATTACTGGAGGCAGATGAAAATTTCAAATTGTCTGAAAATTAAACACTGTCGACCATGACCAACCCATGGGGATAGCTGGATTGACAGCATCTAAAAACAACGCTTTAACTTTAGTGGTATATTACCGAGTAAGCCTCACTCTGTGTGTTTATCACAGACTGTTGCATGTCCGCTAGTAAACAGCCGCTGGTAACATATTCGAAGATTATAGGCTTTTAAAATTGCGATATTAGACGCACGAAAACATGTTATGTAAACATATGTAATTTGACTCAAATATAAGGTATGCACATGTCTTTTGATTCTGACTGGTTCAAACTCTAATACATTTATCTCGACATTTCGTTATCTCGATATTTTTTCACGGTTCCGATGACTTCGAGATAACGAAAGTTAACTGTATTTCAGATATTTTGTCAGCTAAAATGAAACATTACACATACAGTCCTTGTCTTTATACTTGATGTAGAATATCATTAATCAGCATATTTTCTTCAGTGTTGCAAGTTTGGTTTTAGCTTAAAATAATGTAATGTTTGCCTTAGTAACTGCTTTTATGATCCATGTGTTACTGTATTTACTGGAGTCCAGTTTTGTACTCCAAAGCTTTTTGACTTATCAAGTTTAAGTTCTTAGACTGAGATCCTGTAAAGATGCATAGTACTGATTATTATTGAGTGCTTTGTTGTTTTTTTAGGCAAATTATATGCGAATGAATATATTAAGTACAAGTATTAGGTCTGTTTGATACAAGATGATTCTAAGTAACAGCTAAGTTTCAAAGCTCGAAATTTTGTCATTAAATTGAGACCGATTTAGGAGTCATAAGTTGAAGTACTGATTGTCTTTAAGATTTTATGCAAGCTTCTTCGCCTTACCGAAGTTCCACTGTCCTTTTTAAACAGGGTTGCCCTAAAATTTAAGGGTTTGTGTTAAATAAAACCACCGTAAGCCTAAGTGACATTTTAACATTGTTTTGAATCTATTCTTATTTTGGATCTCTACTTATTTTCTAGTAACAAAGTATCAGTGTTTTATTATATACAAACACGATACCATGTATTAGAATCAGTTTTTTAAATTTTTACATGTTTTTGTCTGCAATTGTCAATTTTTATTTTCTGTACCATATATTTGTCAGTATTTCCAGCATAGATACACTTTTATGATCATTTCCATAAGCAGCTCTTTCGTTTTATTAGCTCGACTTTTTTTTTTTTTTTTTTTTTTTTTTTTTGTAAAAAAGTACAGTCGCGGCGGCGTTGCCGTTGCCGCGGAGTTGCCATTGCCGTTGCAGTTGCCGTCCGCAAACTTGTACCTGGATCATAACTTTTTTATTTCTGGGTGTATTGTCTTCATACTTGGCCACAACAACCCTTGGGACAAGACCTTTCAGTAAACCACACTAACATTGACCTTCATTCATAAATGACCTTGACCTTCAAGGTTAAAAGTCCAAATTTTGCTTGTTCATGCTGTTATTGGCTGTAACTTTGTTATTTTTGAATAGATTGTCTTCAAACTTGAACATGATAATTATCAAGGATATCCCTTAAAAATAACCCGACAGACCTTGACCGTCACTCATAAATGACCTTGACTTTGAAGGTCAAGTTATTGAAATTTTAATTTCTTTGGCAATAATTGGCTGTAACTTTGTTATTTTTGAATGGATTGTCTTCAAACTTGAACATAATAATCTTCATGGATAACCCTTATAAATAACCAGACAGACCTTGACTTTCACTCATAAATGACCTTGACTTTGAAGGTCAAATTATTGAAATATTTATTTTTTTTGGCTATTATTGGCTGTAACTTTGTTATTTTTGAATGGATTGTCTTGAAACTTGAACATAATAATCTTCAAGGATAACTCTTAAAAATAACTTGACAGACCTTGACCTTCACTCATTAATGACATTGTCTTTGAAGGTAAAATTATTGAAATTTTCATTGTTTTGGCTGTAACTGACTGTAACTTTGCTATTATCAAAGGGATCAACTTCATATTATAAAAGAACATTCTTAAGGACCAGACCTTGTTGTTTATCAAACCCACATTTGATTGGGTTCTTTAATGTCCTTGACCTTGAAGGTTAAATTACTGACTTTTCTCAGATTTGTGCATTAAATGACCATACTTCTATATTTATAAGTGTGTGTGTGTTTATATCTATCTATCATCATCATCACCATCATCAACAACAACAATGTATATTTCGTGTTTCTATTTTTAGAATTGCGTGTTTCTATTTATAGAATTGCGTGTGACTAATTATAGAATTGCATGTTACTATTTTTTAGAATTGCGTGTTTCTATTTTTAAAATTGCGTGTTTCTATTTTTAAAATTGCGTGTTTCTGTTTTTAGAATTGCGTGTTACTATTTTTAGAATTGCGTGTTTCTATTTTTAGAATTGCGTGTTACTATTTATAGAATTAGGTGTTTCTATTTTTGGAAATTGCGTGTTACTATTTTTAGAATTACGTGTTTCTACTTTTAGAATTGCGTGTTTCTATTTATAGAATTGCTTGTTACTATTTATAGAATTGCGTGTTTCTATTTATAGAATTGCGTGGTTTTTTTTATAGAATAACGTCTTTCTATTCATTGAATTGCGTGTTTCTATTTATTGAATTGCGTGTTTCTATTCATATACAAAATAGATAAACAAATCTAATGTGACAAGACAGACCAACATAATTTATAAAAAGGAAACGTTAAGATATGTTCAAACTTTTCTATGTTTGCGTTCAGAAAAAGTAAAAAGTCGAGCGTTGCCCCCGCCCGGCGGTGTCTCTTGTTACATTTTCCTTTTAGATTTGAATCTGTTTGTTTTTTATAAATGCTTATTAATATTTGTTATTTTATTAAAAGTCCTCCGTTTCAGAAATTTGCAATTTGACAAGAACAAGCAGTAGTTCTGGCGTGTACTTACTTATTTGACAAAGTCTATATAAGTTGTATGTTCTTTTTGTACAATTTGGCTTTATAGACATTTTTGTGTGATTTTGTTGGTCTTAAATCAAAAAATTCTTTAAATTCTAAAATTTTGATATTATTCGGTTTCGACACCAAACTTTTATGTTAATCCATAATTTTAAAGATAAGTATTTTCAAATCCTTTATATGATTAATGAATTTTATAAACGAACATTTTTGGAGAAATTCTGCCATATATTTGATGAATTTCAGATCAAGTATATGTTATATTAATCATAAACTATTTTTATTTCATTTATAGTTGTTTACATGACTGTAATATATCATTTACTTTCTTATTCACTAGCAAAGGAAAATGACTGACATCCTTGCTAATGTGTTTACTTACTCTTTGGCTATTTTGTGTCACATATTCAACAAAAAATACACACACCAGATAATAAATGCATAAATAATTGTCTTGAAGATTTGATACAATTCACGAATTTACAGAATTAGCGAGCATTAATTTTTGTTTCACAACGGAACTGCTACCAAATTTCAATTGGTTACTTGTTTATGATCTGACTAATTTACTTTCTTTCCCCATATGAATTGGTCACCTTTTGGCTGGTTGATAAAAATTGTAACACGGGAATGGTATCAGGTCACAAGGGAACCAATAAATAGTTTTTGTCAATAAACGCACTTATGTCAGTCATTTTGATGTTGTTATCAAGCATTTCAGGGGTCGTAGACCATATTGTTGTAAGCCAATGAAACAACAACGAACAGCCAGCTTCATGTCCAACCCCTTAATATATGTTCCTTTCATAAAATCTTGAGATATTGTTTCAAGATTGCGTAGATATTTTAACGTCTTCATTCTTAGAGCAGTGGTCCAGAGTTAAGAAAAAGTGTAGGCAATTAAATATAGCCTGGTGTCAGTAAATTTAAGCAGGTACTTGAAATGCATCGTCGGATACCCACGGCCGAACCATTAACATTGCATGTTATGTGACATGTTTATCAATCGTGGGTATCCGACGATGTTGAAATGTTGCTACCTCACAATTTATTTAACTAAGAACATTCTATATTTAAATAGAACAGAATGAAGACTTTTATTGTGATGTAATACTCTTCGTTTTTCTTTTTTGAAGTTAAAAAATTTATTTCTATACATTGTGTTATTAAACAGTCATATTATTTATTTTATAATATGAAAGAAAAACAAAATAAGAATAGATGCAGCTTACACTTTGTCACAACGTAATAATTTTTTATCATACTCAGTTATTGTTTCTGTTTATATATAAAGAGAGAGAGATTTTTTTCCCTCAATGTTTCTGAATTAAGACCAATTTTCACACTGATGATGTAAAAGTTGTAAGTTGAATTGCATAAAAATTATATAAAAAAAATAAAAAAAAAGATAGCAGAAACAATAAATTCCCGTCTGCTATTTAAGGTTGTGGGCACCAGGGGTATTGTTTGAAATATTTTATAGTTGCATCATGTGCACCTTACGGTTGTGTTCTTTTATCGAACAGAAACACCAATGTAGACATACTTCAATTTAAAACTTTTATTAAAATCTGTATAATTGAAATATATGTGCCATGGTAGAAATAGGCTAATAGGTCTTGTCTATCTAATATTTTGTTCTTTTATGAATTTATGGACAGCTGATTACGATGAAAATTCTTTATACATATGAATGAATATATTTCTATAGTACCTTCTATGTTGAAGACTTTATCAGTTTTCATGAAGATGATATAATTATGAGAGTTTTTTTATTTGATCTTAATCATATAATGTGGAAATACCCTAAAATGGCTTCCAGGGTAGGTAATAATTGCTTTGTGAAAAAAATCGTTTGAATTGTAGTAGGATTTGAATTTACTCCCTACCACATAAAGCGTTTTTATGACATGTTAATTACTTTGATCTAAATTATCTTCTTCTTTTTTTTTTTGTTACGTCAATACAGCCTAACCTTAGTTTTGCAATTTTAGTTTGGATCTTCTTGTTGTTATATTAAGGAGTTTTAACAACAAGATGCTAGTGTTAAGAAGCCAACATTATAGAATCTGATCCCACTGCATGTCTTAAAGTTGCCAGTCTTGTCGAGGAATCTGACTGAATGCAAGTCTAGAATCTGGTGGGATTGTAAGTCTGGTTTAGATTCTGGTTGAATTGCAAATCTAGAGTCTGGTTGGATTATTAAGTCTAGAATATTGCTGAAGAGCAAGTGTAGAGTCTGGCTGAAATGCAAGTCTAGAATCTGGCGGGATTGCAAGTATGGTCTAGAGTCTTGTTGAATTGCAAGTCTAGAACCTGGTTAGATTTTAAGTCTAGTCTGGTTGAACAGAATTGAAAGTCTAGTCAGACTGCTAATCATGAGTCTGATCGGACTGTTTAACTAGAGTCTGGTTGAATTGCAAGTCTAGAGTATATTGGTTTAAGCAGGTGATTATCTCTTGTAGCATTCTTAGCGTTCAGCATTTGGATAATATTATATATGCACACACTATCTCAGTTTCATGATATTGATGAAGTCTACTAAGTCTTGTTATATTTTAATTTTATGTTTTGTTGTGGTTATGTACACTTTATACTTTAATAAATTAATGAATTAATTTTATTTGTTACTTTTCTTTGAAGTCAACATCGATTTGATATTACACAATACCCTGCAGGTGTTGATGTGTGTAATGCACATGTCCTGCTTTTATCTTATCACCATCTTTTGATATGCACTTGTCAATTGTAATTATGGCCCCAACCCAACCAGAGGGGGAGAGTAGCCATCTTTTCTAAACATTGACAAATATCAATGTTGTTTTGTTCTGGGGAACTTTCCTGGAAATTGGTTAGACAGGTTTTTTGATGATTTATAGGTAAAGCTCGAAAATGTTTCACCTGGGTTCAAAAAGTAAGTCACACATCCACCTTGTTAACACTCGGCTACTGTTCCAGTCTAAATATCCCGTGAAGTGGTCAGAAAGGCTTTTTGATAATTTCTGTGTCAAGTTCAAATTTTGTCACTTGGGTTTAAAAACTAGGTTACACAGCCCAAATATGGAAAAAAACTTGTTAACACTAGAAAAGTTTTTTGATGATTTCAAAGTCAAGTTTGAATATGGCCATCATAGATCTATTGTCTAAATAACAGTTTAAATATTAAATAAGAATCCAGCTGACCATTATGTTTTTCTAAGGATACAATTTGGCTTGCATATAAAATAGAATTTATAGCAGAGATCGTTTGTATTTGATAAAGGAAAGCACTCGGAAGAG